CTCTTTAAGATCCCGGTCTGCTCTGATTGGCTTGTGAGAAAAATATGGCTGCTATCTTTACGGGGTTGCCCATAAGATGTATCTTTGGAAAGCTAAAATTCTTGTGATTTGATTGATGCAAACCTTTTCATGCTACAATCACAAGAGCACGTACAATCAGAGCCTTTGTCAGACCACCAACAAGCAAACAAACCACAATAAAATAGAGGCAACTCCCCTATGAGCCTCATTGGTACTCTACAGATTCTACAGGTTAATAATCTAATCTGCTCCTTGTCCTGATGTGTTGCTGTTCTTACAACACAGCAGTTTTCCCACCCTCTGTAGAAAGAGCAGAGGTAACACCAGACTGCTGGGCAGACAGAACCAGAGTGCAACGTTGAGTACCACACAACCATCTTCACTCGCACGAATGACGAAAGAGAAGATGACCATGCAAACCATAAACCCAGAAAACCTCAACACCAGCACTCCCATTATGGCCATGATGGTGTGAAACACCCTCTGCTTTGATTGGCCCACCCTCTCCTTGACCCCGGCCCTCTCTCCCGGCGAGCGGCGAGTGAGAGCGCGGAGGACGGAGAGGCTGCAGAAGGAGCTGACCAACAAGGAAAAAGCAAAGAGGAATAAAAACGCGCTGACGGGGATATCAGGTAACTTCACATACGTAAGTGCCATCCACCCAGCACACAGCAGCCAAACACACCCAACGCTGATGTTTCTGATCCTCACTCCGCCCCTCTGCCTCAGGCCCAGGTAGGTGACGGGGTGAACAACAGCCAGGTAGGTAAGATGATGGAGAAGCCAAAATACCCAATCACCTGCATTTTCCAATTTCTCACATAGATGCCAATGCAGAACAAGAGAGTTCCCACCAGGGAGTAGATCTCCATGGCCACCATGTGGTAGGTGAAGACTTCGATGTGGCTCGTCACCGTGGTCACGGAGGTGGTGCGCTGCCGCCTCCATCTTTGGAATCCTACGTAGAGGACCACGGCGGAGAGAGGGAGGAGGAAGAGGGTGTTGGTGGCGGCAAAGGCTAAGAACATGTGGGAGCCGGTGGGGGAGTTGGAGCACACGATTACGGAAGAGGACTTCGAGGCATTCGACAAGGACGAGTTGACAGACATTTGTGATCGCTGACGACGTCTGAAGGAAGAAGAGAAACAACTGACATGAGAGACAATGAAGGGAGGGAAAGATCTTTGAAGGCTTATAAAAATGTATTTTTTTGGAACTGGTGTCTTTGTCAGAAGAATGTGACGAAATGTTTTTTGTCGCAATTTTTCCTCATATCTCATAAAGCTTCAAATGTAAAAACAATTAATTAAAAAAGACATTTGGGAGATGAGGGGAGACCAGTGTGTATTTCATTCTTTAACTATGAAGACATTTAGAAACATTCTACTCCAGTCACATCTATAGAAAAGTCTCCCAAAACATGTGTATTTGCATGTCCAAGAACAATGACAGATAAGTGAAAGTCGTGTTCATCATCTTTATGTTATTTCATGAAACAAGTTGTGTTGTTCTTCCTCCAAAGGGGGAATGACAGAAAGTATGTTCATTTTGGTTTCCTTCAATCTTTTTCTACATGAAAAGTAAACTGAAGGAAAAACACAGAAAGTTGATCAACACAGTCGATGATTCGGACCTGAAAGATTCCACAAAGTCCTCACAAACCACATAGCCCTTCAATGGCCAAGAGAATTATGACTCTTTGGATGAGGCTTGGTTTACAATTAGAGAGTCACAAAACCAGACGATGAGTCAGCATTTTTGCACCTCAGGTTCCCCCGTCACAAAGTCAAGGATTTTGTTTGTGTTTTTGGTGAGATGCCTTAAATAAGGTGCAACACAACCGTCAAGTCTGAACCTCATAATATTGTTACAGACTTGAGGAACTAATCTTCATATATAAACTTCATATTAGGCTCCACAAAGTCTCCCAAACACTGAATCAAACCCCACAAGCTGCAGATCAATCCAAGGGTTTCAAGATTATTAAATAAAAGAAGTGTAGTTTCTATTATTATTATTATTATTATTATATTGCACTTAAGTCTGTCTAAGAAGAGAACATCCCTTGAACTGCTCATAAATGTGTAAGCTGAGATGTGAGATGTTTGTATCGTATTAAGAGGTTAAACGGAAAAAAGTACATTTTAAAGTTTGAATTAAAACAGCATATCCTGCATCATACAATATGAAATATACAGTGTGACCTCGTATGAGAGGCGTTGATAAGCACATCATAGTGGCAGGTGACTTTCTAAATGCTCAGACTAGTAATTAAATGTATTTATGTTCATTAAAAGAGACCAACCTTGACAGTAGGACGTGTTTCTGAGCTGCTGCACACAGGTGTCCGTCAGAAGAGAGATTAATGTGTGTGTGTGTGTGTGTGTGTGTGTGTGTGTGTGTGTGTGTGTGTGTGTGTAACAGGTCAGATGCACAAGACATGCGTGTATTTGCATGTTACAAAACCAGTGATAATCACTCCTCCTTCAGTCTCATCACGCTGTAGGCAAATTTTCTTTCCATGAGCTGCTCCAGCGGGTTCAGATCATCGATGGAGAGGATGAAGCATCAACGGAGGTCATCGTCAGTCATGTACAGTTTAAATGGAATGTTCTATAAATCAGGCTGTGAATTTAGTTATTTTTGATTGATTTTGATTGATTTTATTCTTAATATATGTATTCAGTATTTATATTGTCTATTTATTTATTCACCCAATCATATTTATTTCTGTTTTCTTTTATTTATACATTTTTTGATAAACGTCTTAATGTATTTCTGGCTCATTATGCAAATGAGGGGGCTGTCCTTCACAGTGTGCCGTGGGCTCAGCTTGTCTCACCTGCTGGCTGATCGACGGGGTTCTTTCCAGGGACACCAAATGTTACCGTCTGCTCCAATCTGAAACATAAATTCATTCATTCGCCAACTTCACTGATCAGCCAATCAGCCGTCGGCTAAAACCTGAGATCAAACAAATCCACGAATGATTCATTTGAGCTGACGTCCGTGCACGTTTCCAATTTCATAACACAGATGCAAATCTATTCATCCATTGAAATGAACACAATTCAAATATCTTTAATGTACTCGATGATTGGTGTGTATTCAAATCAAAGGACTTCATCCTGCAGATAAGTATGTTGGTCATGCAAATAACCAGATTAACAGCAGTTATGTTACATTTATTATTTTAATCACTGATGCAGAGCAGAGAACTATATGATACTGATAAATACCACTTTATTGTACACGTTTGTGTATTTGAGAAACTACTGCTACAACATGTAGTACTTCACAAAGGCCACTAGATGGCATCATTCATCTCTGAGTGCGTCTCAATGTTATGATCAGACTCACAAAGTGAAGTCTGATCATTTTATCTAATAATTAATCTCAACTTTCTTATAATATCTGTAACATATCAATAAAGGTTTTTTATATCACACCTGTGTGGGTTTTAAGAACACTCTGAAGGAGGATTCGTGTACTTGTCATGAGGAGTACTACTCATCCTGTGATACTGTGATACATCCTGTGGCTCTGGAGAACGACAGCTGTCTTTGCTCTACTGAATTGCATTGTGGGAAATGTAGGACCCAGCATTTCCCAAGTCAAAACATTTTCTGATAAATGTGTCTTTTTCAGCACTCTTGCACACACACACACACACACACACACACACACACACACATGGTGGAAAGTATCTTAGTACATTTACTCAAGTACTGCACATAGCATAATTTTGAGGTACTTTACTTGTGTATTTCCATTTTCTGCTACGAAATAATTCTACTACATCTCAGAAGCATGAATTGTACTTTTTACTGCTCTACATTTATTTGCTGACTTTAGTTACTTTACAAACTCAGAATACACAACATAATAAACACATGATGTAATATTATCATAAGGACTTTATTGATCCCTTAAAAATCACAAGCGACCCGTCAGTAGGAGACATGAAGTGAAATATAAATGACATTAATGCCTCCATAACTATAATCCAATAATATAACATATTCTGAAATGAGACATTCTGCATAATGAGTACTTTAAGTACATTTAGATGATTTTAATTAGTTTTTAGGGGTTTTACTACCATAGTGTAGCGATCTGCTATCACTAAACACGGGAAGTTATCATATGTTAATTCTCACACACACACCCAGCTCCGTCACAGACACGCCCCCGCTCGTGAACCAATCACCTCACTCCCCTTCTGAAAAAATAGTGACGATGCAGAAATGCAGTCCAGGCTGGTGCAGCACCACGAGACGGAGGCCCGATCCCGGCCTGCACACTCACGGTGGACTCAGAAACAAAGGTATGGAAGCTCATTCCAGCAGCAAAAACAAAAAAAAAAAGAATTCTAATTATTATTATTTTTTTGCTGGCGGAAAAAAAGTAAAAAAAAAAAAAAGATTTTTATTATTTTTACTTTTTTACTTTTTTTTTCAGCCACCAAAAAAAAAGTTTAAAAAAAGTTCCATTTGCTGTTTATTGAAGGTCGTCACCTCAGCCACATTGGTTTTATTCTTTATACTCCAGAGCTGCTTCTTGCTTAACATTCTATTCACGGGTGTTTGCTCAGTAATCCATGTGAAACATCAACAACTGAAGTATTTCATCTGTTGTTCACCACGTTTAAAGAAGTCTTCAATGTACTCACAATCCATGTATATGTCAAATGTTAGGATCAATAAAGTTATATTTCATCTTATTATCACATACATATTACGTTTTTCACCGAGGGGATTTCGGATGTGATGAATCCACTCGGTGAAAAACGAAATATGTAATCTAAAATATCAAGGAAACATTTTGAACCTGGCTTTTCAGATATAAAATGTAAATTTCTAAGACAAACAAGTTAGCAATGACCTGAATAAGTTTATTGTTGATGTCTAATAAATTGCTCACCCAGTGGCCTTTTTTCTGGAAGGGGAAACACGCACGTCACGCAATGTGCTGAATCGTATCAGCGGTGCAGCGGTGACATGAGCGCGTGGAGTTCCACACCCACAAATAACAGCGCTCGAGACGTCGGGCTCACTGAGGACTCGGCTCGCTGCTCTACAAACACGTAAGTAACTCAAATATAGTGTGTTGTTATTCATCGCGTTGTGTTTTCATTGTGTAGATGAACTCTTAGTCTCCAGGATTTAGATCCTCAGACTTCTTATTGCTCGGATAACTCTAATAATACTATAGTTGCTGCGCTGTTCCGTCTCTGAGGAAACAGGAAGTCCCCGGACTTAAAACAAGAACAATAACAAACATATTCAGGGTTTTAACACCAGACACAGAGTATTACTGTAGCGAGTGGTCCAAGAAGTATTCGGATTACTGTACTTTGCATTGAAAACGCACGTTTATTGTGTACTAGTACAGAAAGTATAAGCAGAAAAGAGTTCATGGAGTATGTTTACTGATACACTGTGTATTTATACTATTGTACATTATTTGGAGTTGATGTTTTCGGCTCAGTTTGTCTGTTTCTCTCACTGCGAGCAGAGAAAAGCAAACAAAGGACGGACTCCATGAACCGGCTGTGGAGACTTCTAGGTTTCACTTTCATGAATGAGTCATGAGTGAAGTAACATTCCTCTTTCCTGTTTGTGAGGCTATTTTAAGAGCAGTCAACTCTGGAAGAGGTTGAACTACAGCAAAGCTACAAGATGTCTGGTTTAGTTAACTAACTTTTATTTGTTTTACTTTGTTAACATAAAAATTTGGATCTTGTTGTTTTTGCAACCAGTGAACAGGAAGTGACCATATATGGACTGAGGAGGAGTGACGCCGTATACTTCTCTGTAAACAATATGTTTCCTTTCCAGGTTCAGGATCTGATGCGATGCAACCAGAAGGCAGGTCAGCAGGAGAACTGCTTCCTCGTTTGCTCGTCCTCGTTCATGCACTTGGGGAGGAGTTCATGATTCCCTGGAACAGCTGACCAACACCGAGCACAAACGCATCAACAGGTAGGACTTTGTCATTGCGTTCAGCCTTCACGTTGTATTGCCACAGAGCATGTGCAGCCCTCTCCAGAGACAGGGAGGAAGTGAGATGGCTCACTCCTGAGCTACGTCCATCATCAGCTCCTTTTAATTCACAATGTTGTTGATTAGAACTTTTGAAAAGAAAACGTTGTAACGTCTTGCGGATGCAGTCTGATGAGGTATAAAATATGAAGAAACACTGCAACAGGACATAAACTTGGATATGTTTGAAATGTTAAAATTGTTAAAGTTGTTCGGGTGAGCGGTTCTTGAGAAGGTTGAGCAGCAGCACCATATGCCAAGATGGCCGGTCAGTTCACACAACAGGCATGTTTTCGACGGGCACTGCACTGATGTATGTTCATCTTTTGAAATTCAAACAGAAACTGACTGAAGAGACGGACTGGAGGTTCTCTCTGTTATTCCTGTACTGAACTGTGATGTGATGTGTTGATGACTCTGGTCCTCTGTCTCCTCTCACAGGGAGAAGATGATCTGCAGCATCCTGCTGCTCATCACACTGACCTCCTGTGTCTCTGGTTAGTTCACAGCTTCACTTTGTTCTCCACACAGACTCAACACACCTTCAGCCTCACTAGCACACTTCAACATGACTCTAGTTATTGTTACAATCATGCACCTTGTTCATACCTTTGTGTCTCTAAAGCTCAGCATCAGTAAACATCTCCAGGTGGAGTTTAAAGGCTCTCATGTTAACGTTGTCAGTTTGTCTGCTCCTCACTCTCCCTCTCTGTCTCCTCAACAGCACCATTAGTAGTGAATGTGACACAGAGCTCCTATCAGGCAGAGGAGAACCACGACGTCACTCTGGAATGGCCGTTCCCTTCACTAACCGACAGGCCCCTGGACTCTTTTATAATCTTCTGTGAGATGTTCACTGACATCAGGCCCTCGGTCCTGTTTCATCTCCACAACGGTGTCGAGGTCTCAGAGTCTCAGGATGAACGGTTTGCAGGACGAGTCCAGTGTGACAGAGACGTCCTCAGAGAAGGACTACTCAGACTCCACGTGTCCAGACTCAGGACTGATGACTCGGGCGAATTCCAGTGTGAAGTGATCATAGATCGAGCTGTCAGCCGCAGGGAGCGCCACCTCATTGTCACCAGTAAGTTCATTCAGTCGAACTTTCTTAATTAACAAGTTCAATTCAGCAGCACAGTAAAGAACCTGGAAAAGAGCTGTTTCTTCACAAGGATGTTTTGTTTGGTGTCTTTACAGAGGCCAGGGTTTGGCCCGAACCTGAAGAATCAAAGCCAGCATCCAACGGCGTCCAACGGGGACGGACGGGCCTGTTTTATGCTCCGGTCCTGCCAGCAGCAGCTCTGCTGACAGTTTGTTTTCGGTTATTTGTTCACTTCCGGCTGAGTGAACCAGCTTTGTCTTCCAGTGGTGGATTTAATAGAATGAGCTCAGCACATGGATCAGTGGAAACCGTTTGATCAACTATGTAAATGGGAATTATCGGTTGGAATGGACACCAAAGAAAACACTCTTTTAGCAGGTGTTGAAACTATATCCAGGCACATCAAACATCTCAGCAGGTGAAGGGAAAACCACTACAAACGGTAGAAAGTTTATTATGTAAAGGTGTGTCGGTTGTGATCTGTTATGCATGGATGCAATTGTATAGCATATGGTAAACTATATTAAACGTGTTTTCCACCTGAAGGTTTGCAGTAAGGTGTAGACAAAAAACAAACAAAAAAAAGTAAACAAAACAAATGCAGCAACACTTTTGGTGCATCCACCTGTAACCATAACACTGACCAGATGTTTCCAGTTGCTATAGAAAGTCTAAATGATGAGTCATAGAAGCAGCTCTTCATAGGTTTCTCTACATTTGACATATACATGGATTGTGAGTACATTGAAGACTTCTTTAAACGTGGCTTTACAACAGATGAAATACTTCAATTGTTGATGTTTCACATGGATTGTACTGAGCAAACACCCGTGAATAGAATGTTAAGCAAGAAGCAGCTCTGAAGTATAAAGAATAAAACCAATGTGGCTGAGGTGACGACCTTCAATAAACAGCAACTGGAACCTTTTTATTTTTATTTTTTGCTGGCAGAAAAAAGTTTAAAAAAAAGAAATAATTATCTTTTTTTTTTTCTTTTTTTCCGCCAGCAAAAACAAATGTAAATCTTCTTTTTTCGGGGGATGGATTTATATTTTTTTTTGTTACCTTCTTTTTTTTTTTTTTTTTTTTTTGGCTGGCGGAAATGGGCTTCCATAGTTTTTAAAGGTGCTAGGTAAATAAAATAATTATTTATACTACCTGTATATTTGTCTTGTTTTTATGTCCTTGTAAAGCACTTTGTAACTTGTTTTGGAAAGTTATTATAATAATTATAGTATCTCTTATTCCTGTAATAGCTTTGTTTGGCCGTTAGGTGGCGACAGAAGCACACCATCAGCTCTCTGTCTGCTGGAAGCTGAAACACCTCAGCAGACAGTAGCTGCAGCTGTGCAGCTGTCTTTAGGTTGTGTTAACATGTAGATGTACATCTCATAGACAAGACTCAATAAATAGTTCATGTGGTCAAACAGGGATTTCTTTTCAAAATTGTCAAATTCTGCTTGTTTTAACTATAATTATTAACACATTTAGACACATGTCATGCACTGTATTCAAGTTTAAATTAAAATAAAATGTAATAGAGGCAGATACAGAATATGTGGGCACACCAACAAACGACTGAAACGTTAAACTGTGTAGTAGTGTGTAGTTACTTTGATAGACAATGTATTGTTATGGCTCTGTTGGGTTTTCTGTTGTAGAAACATAGAACTTCTGGCAGTGTAACTGGTTAAAAACTACACATGTACTATTCTTTGACTCTTTATTTCTCTATATAGCATGTTAGCATTTAGCTCAACATACCACTGCCTCACTGAGCTGCTGTAGACTCTTAGCTCTACACTTCCTCATGCATGTTGCATTGTTGGACAAAAGTTAGCATCGAAAACACAAATAAATAACCATTTTAGTCCAATAAAAGAATATCATTTTGTATTTTTATGTTACACACTCAGATATGTTCAGTTTAATGTAACTTTGACACAACGTTTAGCTGTTTAAATTGATTTCTTTCACTTATTTCCCAGCTGTACGTGAATGCACCATAAGCCCTCTCAGGAGCTGTCCGTGGTGCTGAAGCCCCTGAACGTCTCTCCTTCTCCCTCATTAGGCTGCACATCCAGACGATGTTCCGTCTCGTGCCGTCTCGTTTGATCGCTTTAACGACCCAAAAATAAAACGCACGAGAGCGCGGCGGAATGTCTCGTGCGACGCGGGGAGGCTCGCGGGTGGCGGAGGGCGACGCGCTGACGTCACAGGAAACGTGACGCTCGCTCCCTGACGAAGCTCGTGTGTGCGGGACAGAAGAGGCTAAGCTCCTCCTCTTTCATGGTGCGTTAATATACCGTGGGAGTTATCCCCTCTCTCTGAGGTCTGAATCATCAGGATATAATACTAATAATTAGTAGTAGTAGTAGTAGTACTAGTATTTACATAATTATTATTTTCATTATTATTTGTATTGTTATTGTTTTCATTGTTATTATTATTACAATTATATATATATATATTAATTTAAAATGTGAGTAAAAAATGCAAAATATTATTATTATTATGTGACACTATGTTTATGTTTTTTTTCTGTTATTGTCGTTTGATATGTAATTATTTGCATCTTATGCTTGCTCAGCACTTTAAATGTACTAAATGAATAAAGTGTGATCTGACTTTGAAGCTGCAGAAAATGGAAAATACTAAAGTTAAGTACAAGTACATGAAGATTGTACATAAGTGCAGTATTTGAGTAGATGCTCCAGCAGTCTGCAGACACTGGGCTTTGTTTACTGCTTGTGTGATCCATCTCTTCATGAGACGATCTTTGTGTGTCTCTCTCTC